TATGTACACATAGCGCTTGTGCTTGGCGCCTTTTTTACCTTTTTGTTTAAAAAGGTAAGTTTTATATAAATTTCACTTGTAATATAAAGAGAATTTACAAGAACATTTTATTATAATAAAAATGCTGTCATGTATGTATTAATCAAGTTTTAGTTCGATATAGTTTTTTAAAGTCAAATTAGATATCATTGACATTTCGTCAGTTATAATAAGAATAACATCTTTGAATAAAAAAATATAAAAATATGTAGAATATACACACATTCGATATGTATATTCTATAGTGAAGGTTTATAATTTATTATAATACTATATAAACTTAATAGATATCCACACAGCACTGCAATATTGAAGCAATATTATAATATCATAGCAATATTACAAAATCACAAGATTATTATATAATATTTTAGCAATATTATCACAATATTGCAGAGTGATATATCAGATTACAATATCACTGGAATATTACTACAATGTTACAATGTGACTATCGTATGGCAACATAGTGGCAATATTACAACATTATTGCGCGATGATAAATCTCATTGCAATATCACAGGAATATTGCCGCTATATTCCAGCATGACAGACCGACATGTAATATTTCTGATCATCGCCGTAATACTACAGTGTGAAACAATTTATATACAGGGTGTCCCATTTTAATGTCACATCACAAATATCTCAGAAACACTGCGTTAAAAAAAGAATGTTTCAGACAAAATTGTTTGGCTTGAAGGAGGACAAGAAAGCGATAGCATTTGTTTATAAATGGCGCCACTTTTGAGATATTTACTGACAATCAATTTTCATAAATGGAAATCCGAATTTTTTCTTATATTTTCTTTTTCTATCAATTAATTTGAACAATTTTTGTCTGAAACATTTTTTTATTTGGTTAATATTTTTTGAGATATTTAAGGAAACCTTGGTAACCTTTTCAACATTTAACTTACGATATCTCGCTAACTATTTGTCGAAAGAAAAAATAGTATTAGACTTTTTTACTTTTACTTACTGTCAAGAATATATTATTATAATAGTGCCCTAACTTTTGTTAACTTATCGACCTTTGGAAATTTCAAAATTATTAAATTAACGAAAGTTAGGGCACTATTAATATATTCTTGATATTAAATAAAGTAAAAAAGTCTAATATTATATTTTCTTTCGACGAATAGTTAGCAAGATATCATAAGTTAAATGTTGGAAAAGTTATCAAGTTTTCCTTAAATATCTCAAAAAATATTAAGCAAATAAAAAATGTTTCAGACAAAAGTTGTTCAAATTAATTGGTAGAAAAAGAAGATATAATAAAAAGTTGGGATTTTCATTTATAAAAATTGATGGTCAGTGAATATCTTGAAAGTGACGTCATCTATTAACAAAATGCTATCGCTGTCTTATGTCCCCCTTCAAGTCAAACAACTTTTGTCTGAAACACTTTTTTATTTCACGCAGTGTTTCTAAAGCGTGGCCTACAATGGCCGTAAGCAATAAGAAGAAAGCGTGAACAGTAATAAATGGACCAACGACAGTTGATTATTTTTGTCATAATCGACTGTGATTGGTTTATTTCTTACCGCTTACGCTTACTTCTTACTGCTTACTGCCATTGTAGACCACGCTTGAGATATTTGGGATGAGACATTAAAATGGGTCATCCTGTATACACCTAGATAGCTAAACCTGCTAAAACAGATTTTGTGCAGAGTCTATTAGCAGGATCTGTTGATAGAAAGGCAACAGTTTGTACGCAGAATCTGTTTAACAGACTCTGATGACAGAATGCGCGCAGAATCTGCTAACGAACTGACGCAGAATACGCACAGAGTTTGTCACAAATAAGAGCAAATTTAAGGCCGGTATTCATAGTCGAATCTTATATATAAGACCGTTTCAACTTCATCTTCAGATAGTCCATAACCAATGAAATTCTTCGTAGTCATCTAAAGATGAACTTGAGACGGTATTATATATAAGATCCGACTGTGAATTCTGGCCTAAGGATGCAGTCACATGAGCGAAACGGAACGCATGGACCAATTACAGTCGTTCTATTCTTTTCTCGTTTCATTCCGCTGAAAATTTCTGCTCATATGACTACATCCTAATACAACTGAATTTTTCATTTTCCTTGAACGTTATACATGCAGATGTGGCATGCCACTTTTGTCATTAACATTTCGTTTGATTAATATATAGAACTGAATTCTATATATTAATTATTATATACAACAGTATTATATACAATAATATTTATTTCGATATCAATCTTGGTAAGTATAAATAATATTTGAATTATTACTTTTTGATTGAATGTATTAGATGATAGTGGATTTGCAGGTGTAGATAAGTTCAGCTCAGTTGAGAAAGTTTTTCTTGCGGTCCCATTGCTACTACTATTAGTTGAAGGTGAGTAATGTGTTATAATATTAAAGTAAATAAATATATTTAAATTTACAAAGTTAATGAAACAATTTGTAAGTAATTTACTATAAAAACTAACACATATATATATAAAATAAAAAAACTTATGTACATTATAAACAAAATATAAACAAAATAACTTATTCAAAAAGTGTCAAAGTACTTTTCATTTAAATTAAAATAATATTTTATATTTTAACTAACATTTTAACAAGCCATGATATAATTATTATATAATTACTGTTATTAATGCGAGAGGATTACTGATATATTCATTACTATATATATTCTTTACTGTATCGTTAAATATGCAGAACAATAAGGAAGATATATTATACCAGCAGAAAGATCAATTGCATTATACTAAATATAGCAATAACATCTACTAATATACCACTTCAATAATTGATTAATAAAGATATATTGAGTAAATTATTCAATAAATTATTTATGCTTTAAAAGTTTCCACTTTTCAGAGGTCAGCCAAGCTAACCAGTGACATTGTTACAGTTGTCTGTTGTGTCAGCCCCTTGTGCAAGGGAACGAGAAAATATTTTAAATCTATGATGCGTATAAAGTAACTTACTTTTAACAATGTGGCGCCCGAAGGGGCGGTTAGTGAGAATAAGTGAAGGACCCTTAAGTGGCGCGAGACTATCTGTCAGCTTGGGATCTCCAGGAGCGACCGACTGGTTCGGCTGTCGGGGACTGACTGACTGACTGGGCTCTCCGTTCTCAACTCGTCAGGTCGGGGAGGTGGGTGTGGAGGGGAAAAGGCTCTGGTAGGGATATCTGCTTATGGGAGGATAGTAGAGGGAGACAGACGTTCGGATATGATTTCATGCATGAGTTATCATGAATACTTCCGTTGTTATCTTTGTCCTTCACGTATTCTCTTACATATATTTTTACGCAGCGCATTCTTACAATCATCGATTAAGTGTTCTTGGAATAACAGATTAGATAACGTTTATCGGACGTGTTATGTTGTGGCGTTTATGTATTCGTGGTTTGCATTATTTCTTTTGGTTGAGACATGTCATTTTCGTTAGCGATTAACGTTTGAGTGCGGCAATGGGGTTCGAAAAGGTTCGAAACGGTTCCTAAGGTAACCGCGGAGAAATACATTCGAGTTATGGACCTATAGTCGCATGGAGTTCCTAAATATGGGGGAACCGGGAAGGGCTTGTTGACGTGATTTTATATAAGTTATCCATTATGCTCCTTTTCTCAGTGTTCTGTTCGTTTTTTTTGGGAAAGTAAGTGTAATACCTTAAGTTTTATCGCCATTGCACGTCACATGGCGTCGAGATAATCCATGGTTGATAATGTGATTTTTAGGGGAACGAAAAAATGTTTGATGAGTTTGAGCGGGAGGGATCATTAGTATCTCAAGGTGTTGTTACTTCAAAGACGAATATAGCAATATGTATTATGTTGGGTTTCTGGCTTTTAATAAATTTATTATAATTTTGCAATTAATTATTATCGGTTGTTGATGTATTTCTTTTATGTGTTATCTGCCCGTTGTGTGATACAGAATATTATGCGGGTAGCGTGATTTTTCGCTCTCTATTGGTTAAGCTGTTATTTATTTGTTAATTAGTGTATGTGTAATTTCGAACTGTTGATGAAATGTCAGAGGATTTTGTGTTCTATAATATTAAAAGAATTTTGTGGGCTTGTTATAATGAATCTGTTATTTGTTATAATTGTTATAAACAATAACTTCAAATTTTAAATAATAACTAAAACATCACTTCTCTTCTTTTGTGACTACACTCTGATGTCTTTATGGTAATGTAGATCCGCGGCGATTTGATTGTTATTTGTCCGATTGTTTAAATTAACAAATTAAAATATTGCAGCAGCCTAATTTTCGAGTTCAGGGGTACCATACTAAGAGTGTCCGCTGTAATTTTAACGATAGTGAGAATTCAAAATTTGTTTGCGAAATTATTTTGTTTATTTATAATTTCGTCATTTTTATGCTCCAGGGATGATATCAATATTGTTCCTGAGGTTTTGAGACCGAAGAAAAATAGTTTTTTCCTTATTTTGTACTAATTTTGAAATTTCGGTTTTTCAGTGATATTTTTATACAATATGGAGTGTTAGAGGTGTGTGATTTGTTAATATCATCGATTTTATTGCGTACTTCTAATTGGGTGTTACTTTATTGAAATTTTGTCCAATTCTGAATCCTAGTCTTATATAGGGATATACTTGATAAGGGAGTAGTGACTCTAGGTTTGTGCTACGTTCATGCCTGTTGGCCCTTGCTTAGATCAATGTTTCTTTTCGTTATGAATTACAGTGATTCTTTATTAACGAGTGGGAGGTTAATCTTGCTGTTTTTATGATTTGTTCTGAGTTTGGATGTTACTTATCGAATTTTGTCCAAATAGCCTTTTGTCCAATCCTAAGTGCTAGATCCATGCGGAGATATTTGCTCGGCGTTAGCGCGTATGGGTGGTAGTGGTTAGATAACCACCATCAGATGAGGGAGGGTGTTTAGCTATTTCGCGGTTGGTTACTTGTCGGTCTCCATTTTGTGTGCTCACAAGTCAGCTGTCAGTTGCGAATGGTCAGTCGTGTATGTAAGAGAGAAAAAGGAGAAAATATGTATCCTTTCCGTCAACGATTTCCTCGGCGAAGGTACTTCCGATCGGTGCCGATAATAGTGAGTATATGTCAAGGTATTGCATGGGTGTAAGCTCAATTAAATGCACGTTAAGATATTTGGTTATACTACTAAGGTATGTTACTACAGTGCTTCTGCAACGGGGATGTAACCTTGAAGACAGATATTCAGATTCCTGGTCTGCTGTCTATCCGCGAAATGACGGAGGTGCGTTGGAAAAGGAGATGGAGGAGGAGAGAGGCAGCCGACTTTTGGCTATACGGTGGTTTAGATATGAGCCCTGACCCTGACGCCTACAGTCTTAAAAATTTGTTCCGGTAAGTAAAAAGCTCACACTAAATCCCGATTAAAAAGCACATTTTTAATTGGTAATTATTTTCTTCATTACAGGGAGCGAGCAGAATGCCGAGACCGACGCGTGTAGGCGTTATGTGTTAATTTCGTAATGCCTGTATAAGGATGTTTCATAGAGTATAATTATTTTCAATTAAATTTGCGTTATTACTCGTTATACCCCCTCCTTTCGTCCTCCCTTTTCTAAAATTTTTCCTATTTTCTCTAGGGTTATTAGATAGTATTTGAAAAGCAAAGTATTAGTAAGAAAGAGATGGGTAAAAGGTATTAGTTGTTTACGGTGAGGAGGTATGAATAACGATTTCTGCTTGGATTAATCATGATATAGGAATGCACGGTTTATCTTATCGAGGAGATAGCGAGAAGGTGGTGGGGTAGTCCATGGCTTGCATTGCACGGTGGAAGTTGATTTTGTCTACTCGCTTAAGTTTTTAGTAGCAGGAATTGTTAATTACTGTTACTAATAACTTCTCTTAATGGGAGGATTAATCATTAGCATATATATATATATCTATTGTGTGGGTGATCATGTGAAAAAGCGATTGAAGTATTAGTGATAGCATGAAGGACAGGGTAGCTATGACGGTTATGTCGGTCTCGAGGTTATTGTTCAGGGATTCTTTATGCGCGAACAATAATCTTCTAAATTAATATTTTTCAGCAACAATTTTGATCGAGTCGGTAAGGAGGAGCACGAGTGGGTACGCTCGGCGGCCGCGGGACGGTGGCGCGACGTGCCTTAAGGCTACCGCGGTGTACTGCTTTAGAGACTATGAATGAGTTTGTTCCGCCATTTTGTTGCACAGGTGGGTCTAAATCTTTAAAATTTTAGTATATCGCGGTTATTAATCATTATTTTATCCTTGTTTGTTTTTCGGCGGCAGGTTTAAGCATAGGTCTGCGAAATATAACTAGGCTAGTAATATACTAGGATTTGACGTTAATAAATTGTATTATAACAATGGCTTATTAGGTAGGGTGATAAGTGGTTAAATTAAGTCTCTATACTTAATAGCTATAGTGCAATTATATGTGTATATATATATATATCATTAATCTGTCCGTTAAATATATTGAAAATGAGGTTATAAATTATATATAATTTATTATTGTCTTCCAGGCCTTTCTGCAATCGTTTTGCAGTTTATAAGGTTGCCATCAAATATTTTTAAAGTAATGAATTATTAAGTCAGATGTATATATATATATCATAGATGAAGTGTATTACTTCGTATAATAGGATACAATATACTGGTTATATATATAAATATATATAAGAAAAGGTATTACGCGAGATATTATATAAAAATAAGGGTTATATAGGGTGTTGAATAAGTGAGTATAGTTCAATTTCAGAAGTGTAGTATACTATGTGCGTATGTACGTATACTATGTGCGCATAGGTGCGTTGTTGGAGAGAGAAGGGTATTAAAAATATAATTGTTACAGGTTCCGACGAATATAGAAGGCGCTTGAGATGTGGGATACAGATAGTTCGTGACCTGTTGATTAGCCGAAAATAGCGACTTTAAAAGGTGCGTGCCCGCCGACCTTGTTTCGTTTCTCGATTCAGTTGTCCATTAAGTGGAAATCTTTATGGCAATTAGATTTTGGAAGAAAAATTTCTTTCTCTATGCCTCGGAATAGCGGGATGTTACAGATGTTACAATATCATTGATTTTATTGCGTACTTCTAATTGGGTGTTACTTTATTGAAATTTTGTCCAATTCTGAGTCCTAGTCTTATATAGGGATATGCTTGAAAGGGGAGTGGTGACTCTAGGTTTGTGCTACTTCATGCCTGTTGGCCCTTACATAGTTCAGTGTTCCTGATCGATCATCAGCTGTTCGCTTTGTGTATTAGGTAGCGCTTGTTATATTGTCTTCGCTATGGCGAGTATGTGTTTTTGCATGCATATGTCGGATGTGTCGTGTGACACAATAATTTCTTTCAGTTTTACTCAAAACTTGACTGAAATAAGCAATTACTTTCTCAGATTTTCCCTGAATCTGAGACAAAACTGCTCCGATTCCACAATCCGAAGCGTCCGTATCTAAAATAAACATTCCTTGCTCCGAAGGAAAAATTAATACTGGAGAAGAAATTAAATTCCTCTTTAATCTCTCAAAGGACTCTTGACATTGTTCCGACCACAAGAATTTAGAAAGATTTTCTGTCAAAGAATAAAGAGGTTTCGTTGTTAAAGAAAATCCCCTAACAAATTTTCGATAATATGAGCAAAATCCTAAAAAACTGCAGAGCTGTTTCTTTGTTTGAGGAACTGGCCATTCTTTGACTGCAGCAATTTTTTCCGGATCAGTAGTCACTCCTTCCTCTGAGATGACATGACCCAAATATTTAACAGTCTTTCCCAAAAGAATACATTTCTTTGGATTCAAACTTAAACCAGCATTCCGAAAACGTACAAACACAGTTCTCAAATGTTGAATAATTTCTTCAAACCTTTTACCAAAAATAATTACATCATCTAAATATACCAAACAAATTTTAGATAATAACTCCTGTAAAACTTGTTCCATTAACCGCTCAAAGGTTGCTGGCGCATTACAAAGCCCAAAAGGCATAACAGTGAACTGCCATAAACCTTTACCGATAGAAAACGCCGTTTTTTTTTTATCTTCCGAACGGATTTTCACCTGCCAATACCCGCTTTTCAAATCCAGCGTTGAAAACCAAACATTTCCCGCTAAACGATCTAAAGTATCATCAATGCGTGGTATCGGAAATGAATCCTTAATTGTCACAGCATTTAACTTCCTATAATCGATGCAAAATCGCAAAGATCCATTTTTTTACCATCACAGCAGGAGACACCCATGAACTCCGCGATTTCTCAATCACTCCTTTTTCCTACATTTCCTTAATAATTTCATCAACCTCTGAGCGATAATGGAGAGGAATACGACGAGGAAACTGCTTAATTGGGCGAGGATCTGACAATTCAATTTTATGCTTTACCATTTCACAATTTCCCGCAACAATATTTTCAGAAAATATATCCTGAAATTCGGTTAATAATTCAGCAAATTTTTCCTTTTGTTCGAATCTTAAATTCTTTGAATCTCGTTCGAGCAATTCAAAAAGGAAATCAGGAATTTGCACAGCAAGATTTACACGCGAACAATTAAATTCCCTTCTAGACCCATCCAATGTCTGAATTCCTAAAGCAGATCTCAGACTTGATTCGGCATCTGTTGCTGAAAGAAAATCTGTTCCAAGAATACATTCCTCATTAATGTCAACAACAAACATTGGAAAGGTTGACACGAATTTTCCTAATTCCACGGTAACATCCACTTTATAGTGAATAGGTACTGTTTCCCCCGTCGGATAGGAAAAATAACTATTTTTTACTTTATTCACTTTCCTTGAGGGTTTCATTAGACTCCTACTTATAATAGATACATCCAAACCCATATCTACCTTAAATTTACAAGGCTCACCGTCTAATTTTCCCGAAAAACAAAAATTGTTTGTCATGCAACTTAATTTAGTCTTATTCCTAATCGGGGTCCTACTTGTTTTTACCGAATCTCCCCCGAACCATTCGACAATTCCTATTTTGGGTACTGATTAACAAAAGTTGGGCAATCTGCACGGAAATGCCCCACGCTTCCACATTGCCAACATTCTCTACCGAATCCCTTTTCTTTTTTAACATTTTCTTTTTTCTTTTTTGGAAAATTCTTGTTTTTCTTTGTACCTTCATACTGAAATTTTTGAATTTCTGGACGCACCTTCCAATTACAACACTGTTTCTGCGAAAAATCCCCCTCTGAAATTGTTTGCACTATTTTTGGCCGCTCAATCGCTGAATTTAAAGATACCATTCCTTCTAATTGTAAGGTGCGCTTCACAAGTCCTTCAGGCATCCCAGCAATGAATTGCGCACAAGCAATCTTATCGCGCACTTCAAACGAACATTCAGGATAGGCTAAACGAGCTAATCTTTCTAACTCGTACCCGTATATCGCATAATCTTCCCCAAATTTCATTTTTCTATTTGTTAATTGAAAATAATAATTTTGAAAACAAAACTGTTCCCCAAATCGTAATTCTAACTTCGATTTGATCTCCTTATAATTTAAATTCTACCCCACACCATCAAGAACCGAACGTGCTTTTCCTCTAAGATTTGCCGCAAAAACTAAAGCTTTTTCTCTTTCCGACCAAGTATTTGCTTGCGCTATTAATTCAAATTGTGTAATGTATTCATAAAACGGCTTGGTTCCGTCAAAAATATCGGGTTTTAATTTTAAGGAAACGGAATTGAACTGGCCTGGGTTTTCCTGCTCTCGCTTTCCGCCGGATTCTCCTTGTCCCTACTCCTCTGTCCTTTGCCAACGCCGCAATTCAAGGAGTTCCTGCCGTTCTTGTTCACGCTCCTCACCAAGCTGCTGCATTTCCTGCCGAAGCCGCCGAACAGCCTCCGCATCCGTTTCAACTCTCTGATCCATTTCCGCCGTTATCAAGCTTGACGCCGCCGTCGAAGCCTGGCTTCGAGTCACCCTCGGCGAATGCATCATCCTCTCCTTTCTCTCTTTAACGTCGGATGTTAAACGATTCACTTTTATCCCGGACGAGCCCCCAAAATGTTGCGCTCACTCTTTAACTAGCAACATTCACACCACGCACTCGAAGAAATAAGAATACTTGTGTAAAAGAAAGGAAGCTTTACTATTTACAACTTTGTACAGACTCTCGCATACATAATTCTCCGAATAATAAATCTCGCGTCTGTCTATCTTGACAGCTTCCCAAGAACTCTTTGTCTGCTGTTGTTATTTTTCGTTGCTAGGGACTCTTGATCATAGCAATGTAAACACACCTCGATATTTCGCAAAAGCACGGGCGCAACAATATATATTATATTATACAAAAGAAGTGATATATTAAAACAGTACCGCCAATTAAGAAATCGTATACTTAATATTTTTAGAAATTTCAAATTTAAATTATTTCCTTTTTTTAAGATATATATTATGTACATAACATATGTTTTTACAAGTAAAAATTACAAATTAAAATTATTTCCCTTTTTTTAAGATATATATTATGTACATAAATTTTTACAAGTAAAAATGATATCGTGTTATAAAAATTTAACACGTTATTTATTAATAGTGTCCGATATTTAAAAAAGATATCTTTTTAAAGGTTATTATTATTTATACATAACATAAGTTTTTACAAGTAAAAATGATATCGTGTTATAAAAATTTAACGTTTATTAATAGTGTCCAATATTTAAAAAAGGTATCTTTTTATAGGTTATTATTATTCAAGAAAAACTGACTACAAAAGATGTCAATAGCATAAATTTTTACAAAATTTATCATTATTTATTAGAACACTGAGTTATACGATACTATTTACTGGGTTGTCACGGTTATTATTTCCAGACAGTACATGATCTCCTGGGGACGTCCTATGGACGTCCTGAGGATGAAGGAACGTCCCCAGGACGTCCTTAGGACGTATTTTGGACGTCCTCTGGACATCTGTGCTGTTAGGATTATTTTTAACGATAACAGCAATGTAAGTAACGCGCGTTAACTTATTAACTTCATATTAAATTAAAAAAAGAAACAAAAAATTTAATCCAAACATACAAGGAATTGAAAAAAAATTATGAAGATTTACCAAAAATAAAAAAAAACCCTTGGCGCGCCAGGGTTATTAATCTGCATTAGAACTCATACTTCTGTAGCTGACATTAAAATTGTTAATATGACCCGGGCGCGCAAGGGTTTTTTTATTTTTGATGAATCTTCATAATTTTTTTTCAATTCCTTGTATGTTTGGATTAAATTTTTTGTTTCTTTTTTTAATTTAATATGAAGTTAATAAGTTAACGCGCGTTACTTGCATTGCTGTTATCGTTAAAAATAATCCTAACAGCACAGATGTCCAGAGGACGTCCAAAGTACGTCTTAAAGACGTCCTGGGGACGTTTCTTCATCCTCAGGACGACCATAGGACGTCCCCAGGAGATCATATGCGGTCTGGGAATAATAACCATGACAACCCAGTAAATAATATCGTATAACTCAGTGTTCTAATAAATAATGATAAATTTTGTAAAAATTTATGTTGTTGACATCTTTTGTAGTCAGTTTTTCTTGAATTTTTTTGAATAATAATAAGCTCTAAAAAGGTATCTTTTTTAAATATTGGACACTATTAATAAACGTGTTAAATTTTTATAACACGAAATCATTTTTACTTGTAAAAACTTATGTTATGTTATGTACAAATAATAATAACCTTTAAAAAGATATCATTTTTAAATATTGGACACTATTAATAAACGTGTTTAATTTTTATAACACGATATCATTTTTACTTGTAAAAACTTATGTTATATACATAATATATATCTTTAAAAAAGGAAATAATTTGAATTTGTAATTTTTACCTATAAAAACATATGTTATGTACATAATATATATCTTAAAAAAGGAAATAATTTGAATTTGAGATTTCTAAAAATATTAAGTATACGATTTCTTAGTTGGCGGTACTGTTTTAATATATCACTTCTTTTGTATAATATAATATATATTATATATCTACATACCATATAACTGTCTTACTACTGATATTTTAGTTGTTGGGACAGTAAATTTTACATGTAAATAAATTTTACTTGTTAAAAAAATTTATGCCAATATATATTAGGTTTCTCAGTTGGCGCTACTGTCTAATATATCACTTCTTTTGTACAGTAGAATAGTGTTGTAGAGTTTTATTATTGTTATGTTTTACTTGTAAAAACTTATGTTATGTACACATAACGCTTCTACTTGGCACCTTTTTTTACCTTTTTGTTTAAAAAGGTAAATTTTATATAAATTTTACTTGTAATATAAAGAGAATTTACAAGAACATTTTATTATAATATAAAATAAATTATTTAAAATAATTAAAACAATTTATTATAATATAATATAAAAAATGCTGTCATGTATGTATCAATCAAGTTTTAGTTCGATAAAGTTTTTTAAAATCAAATTAGATATCATTAGGATCGCAGAATCATCTATTGGAGGATAAAGAAGCTCCACGAGGAGGGGGCCTTAGGGCCAGGGATGTGCGGGCCTTAAAGTCTCAAGCCGTGGCCCGTACCCACGAGATGTGGGCGGACAAATTGTCCCGACCCACGGGGTACGGGCGCCAGACGGCGGAAGCCGTCCGCCCCTGCCTGCCAGAACTGGCAGGCAGGAGGGGATGCGGATTGTCCTTTCATCTGGTGCAGATGCTGACGGGCCATGGATGCTTTGGCAAGTACCAGATAGGAAAGGAGCCCATCACCAGATGCCACCACTGCCCCATGCTCATGGACACGACGCTTCACACCCTGGTCGCTTGTCCGGCCAGGGAAGAGGAGCGCCGTGTCCTGGCCGGGGCCATGGGGTGGCGCGATGGGGACATCCCGCTCCCGCGCATGGTGGCGTCCATGTGCGGGAGCGAGGAGGGATGGGAAGCGGCGTCCTCCTTCTGCAGGGGCGTAATGTCCAAGAAGGAGGCCGCCGAGAGGGAGCGCCGGCCACACACAACCCGTCATCGTCGACGACGACGGCGTGGCCGGCAACCCAGAGGGGGGGGGCATTTAGGCAGCGGGTCCGAGGAGACACTGGCTGAGGAGGAGGAAAGAGCCCCGACTAGCGGAGGTCCAAGCCCTCCTCCTCGGCCGCCTCGGGCCCGACTCCGTCGGCAGGGGGGATCTCGCTCTTTTTTCACCTAGGAAGAAGATGGATCCCCCCTGGCCACGGACAGGATAGGTTAGGAGGGAGTGGTGCCCGTTTTGGGGAGGGCCCACTTCCCCAAAAACCCCACCACCCCGACTCTAGGGGAGGGGGATAAAGGGTGAGGGCGGATGCCCCCTCATCCCATAGGCGACACCAGAAGGCCAACCGGTCGGTCCTAGACCGACCGGGACAGCGCCCTGGATTCCCTTTGCGGAACAAGGCGCGGTAAAGGATGGCAGAGGGCTCAGCAACGAGCCCTAGGGCCGGGGGGTTGGGGAGGAAATGCGGGAGTAGTTCCCCTGACTCCCCTCCACTCGGTCCGACCTTTGACTATATAACTATGGACTGCTAGTAATGACTTTGGGCATCTATGAACATCTGCAGCGCCGCCAGTACCAAACACGGCCATTATTAGAACTATCATCACACTTTTCATTCCTGTTTTACCATTAAAAAGATATTATTTGCGATCATGAATTTATAAGGAAAGGAAAATATAAAGAACACAAAATATGCTGTATATAATAAAAATTACATTAGTTACATAGTTTATGTTATGAAAATCTTTTTTATACAATAACAATTAGTATTTATATATAAATAAAAATAAAAATATATATGTTAAACATAGCATCACATAACATATATATGTTAAACATAACATAAATAAAAATAGAACTTTGTTATTAATGTAAAAAAAGACGTTACATTTTCCATATTTGTTAAGATATTACTGACCTTTGAATAAAATAATTTTTGTAAACTGATATCTGATGTACTCAATATTTTGGCTCATTAATTTCCCTTCATAATTCATAAGAATCTGTATATAACATTCTATAATTAATTTAATTAAATAATATTTGTGATTTTCGAAAACGTCTAACTCATTAACGTGGTTGTTAAAATTTATTAATACCTTATCCATATCAATATTACGTATTGTTTTTATAATCATTTCTTGGCATGCATTTTTCTTATACAAATTATTCTGTAATTTATAAAAATTAAAAACTTTATCAGCGACAACAATGACTTTATATGTATCTTCTCGTGGATAATGTAAATATCCACAGCTTTTTCTTTCTATGAATGTAGACTTCATAACTGTACATTCGTTAAAAAGATAAAGGCATGTTTCGCAAGTAATCTTTTTAAATAATTTTCGTTCGACAAAGCCTGACATATAAATGATAGCATGTTCTTTGCCTTCAATATTATTAATAGAATCAGATATCATTAAATTTTCTTCTTCATCACTATCACAAACATCATTAATATTAGCAACATTTGAATGTGCTACAGATTTTCGTGATGATATTGTAAGTATATTTGTTGTGTCTTGTGCAATGCAATTGGCTGCTGCAGAAGATTTCAATTCATTATGATGGAGTAGTCGCTTAAAAGCTGCGATGAATTGTATAGCATTCTGATTATTATTAAATCCCCCCATGGATCGAATACAAGAAAATAAAATTTCCAAGTTGTCTTGCGAAAATTTATAAGTCATTATGTAATTCATTTTATTTTTTTCAACATATTCTCTATAGATAGTTTCGAAACTTTCCATATTATTAATCAGTCCTAAGAAACCCGTTTTGCTTTTGGTTTGTAGAATATTCATCTTATCATTTATATTTTTTTTATAATTCTCTGTAGAAACTTGATTTTAATGTTCGACAAATATATATATATAAAATACATAATTTTGGAAAAGCATTTGTAAAATACCTATTTTGCATTTTGTATTTTCAAATACCTATTTTGGCCATTTATGTATTTCAGCCTATAAAGAGTTTTACAATACGATTCAAGTATATGTAGGTGAAGGAGTATCTGTTTTAATTACCTGTAATACTTGCTCAGCATTAGAGGAAATAAGATTATTTTTTCTTAGAGCAGTGAACAACTGTTTTAAACTCTCAATTGTTTTCTTCTGACTATATACTTGAGATCTTAAACGATTCATTGCAATCTGTTGAGCATTATATTTCTTTCTTAATATAGTAACGTACTTCCTCAAACTACTTGACGACATGTTTGCCACTTTTTCGATTGTAATATCTCTTGGATATCTTATTAAACATTTATTACTTGACACCACAGTATTGGTTTTTGTTGAATATGTCATATCATCTTGTATTTGTCCTTGATGAGAACCAATTGTTGATTCATCTTCCATCAATACTTCAGAAGATGCATTATTGTTTTCGTTACAGTGTATACTTTCTGTTATGCTATTAACAATTTTTTTTTTATTTGTATAAAGTTTGTATGAAAGTGGTATTATTATAGTTTAAATGTATTAACAATTTTAGTAACATTACCTTAAATTAGAAACATATGGAAATATAGATGGTACAGATCCTTCGTACAAGCGTAATGATGACAATCCAGTTTTGTACATACAGGTTTCATTAAAATGTTCTTGACATACAATGCTATTTGTTTTTATGGCCACATTTTTCAATGCTTTCACCCATTTTGTACGATGTTCCAGATTTTTTGGAAATTTAAAAATATTAATAAAGATTTAAACTATTTTAGTAATATATTTGTTTCATATGATATTCTCATACATGTCTAAACACATGAAATTGTACAAACATTACTTTTAATTGCCGTATTATTATTGCAATCTCATGTGTTTATATGTATACACATATTATACGACACTGCTTTCTTATTTTATTTAAAAATTAACCATTTAATAAGTTATTGTTGTAATGTAACATGAGAGAGACTTACGCAAATAAAGCCACATGCTTTCCTGTCTTTTTCTCTTTATGAATAGAATTATTGCACCAATGGACAACACAGTATTTCATTTTTATTTATTATTTTCTTGTTTGTAATTGTTATTATATATCTCATATGGTATAATATATAGCTACTATATATATAGATACGTCTACTTCGTTATCATTCGTTATGCTCAACGAGTTCCATCATTTGCCGTGTTTGGTACTGGCGGCGCTGCAGATGTTTGTAGACACTTATTGCGTGGAAAAGTAAGCTGCTAGCAGTCCATAGTTATATAGTCAAAGGGTCCGACAGGTAGGCATCCCGCAGGGGTTTTAGTCAGTAAGAGTCTGACATAACCCCCGACCCCCCCAAAGGGGTCGGGGGTATCCATGATGGATTTCCCCTGCGTTACCAAAAAAAAAAAATTAGATATTGACATTTCTTCAATTATAATAAGAATAACATCTTTGAATAAAAAAATATAAAAATATGTAGAATATACACACATTCGATATGTGTATTCTATAGTGAAGGTTTATAATTTATTATAATACTATATAAACTTAATAGATACATACGTACTACGTACATACGTACTACAGGGTGTCCCATTTAACCTGACAGATCGTAATATCTGGAAAACTACATGTCGGATCAAAAAAAGTGGGTAATGAAATTTATTCGTCTCGAAGGGGGACATCCAATGATATCAAACTGGACCTCCTAGCCCACTCCCGGGAGATGGGGGTGGAGCGTAACTTTGAAATCTTAAATAGGAACCCGCATTTTTTATTGCAGATTCGGATTTTACGCCACAAAATACGTAAGCTTCGTCCGAAACTTTTTTTTTATTCGTGATAGATGGCGCTGTAATCACAAAAAGTTAGATTTTCTGCAATTCTCCAGAAATGATCATTGAATTGAAAAATGAAAAAATTCCTGTTCAATATTTTTAAAAATATTTTTGAAAAACATAATAACAGTTATTCCTCCCCATCCCCTCGGGGTAAGGTGGGAGGTAACGTTCAAATCTCAAATTGAAACCCACATTTTTCATTGCAGAATTAGATTTTACGTGAAGTTTTTATGGAAACAATTTGTTTCATTCGTGATAGCGTTGAATTTTTGCGAGAAACTACTTTTAGGGTAACGCTAATAACATACACTTTTTTTTATCCGCCATGTAGTTTTCCAGATATTACAATTTGTCAGGTTAAATGGGACACCCTGTATATTGGTATATACGTATATACATACCAATATATATACCAATATATACTCTCTCTCTCTCTCTCTCTCTCTCTCTCTCTCTCTCTCTCTCTCTCTCTCTCTCTCTCTCTCTCTCTCTCTCACTCTCTTCCACTCTCTCTAGTTCTTTATCATTCTCATTCATTCTTTCACTCTCTCACTCTCACTTTCTCTCATTCCCAAACTCTCTCATGCTCTCTCACTCTCCCACTCACTCTCTCTCTCTCTCTCTCTCTCTCTCTCTCTCTTCCACTCTCTCTAGTTCTTTCTCATTCTCATTCATTCTTTCACTCTCTCACTTTCACTTTCTCTCTCTCACTCTCACTTTCTCTCACTCCCAAACTCTCTCATGCTCTCTCACTCTCCCACTCTCTCTCCCTCTCCCTCTCTCTCTCCCTCTCCCTCTCCCTCTCCCTCTCCCCCCTCTCTCTCTCTCTCTCTCCCCCAATCCTTGTCATTCTCACTCATTTTCTCTCTCACTCTCGCTTTCTCTCATTCCCAAACCTTCTCACACTTTCTCGCTCTCCCTCTCCCATTCTTTCACCCTCTCTCATTCTCTCCCATTCTCTCTCATTCTCTCATTCTCTCTCTCTCTTTCCAATAAAAATCAATCTCACTCTCTATCTTCCTCTCTCTCTCTCTAGCTCTTTCTCACTCTCTCTCATTCTCTCACCTTTTCAACCCCTTACTCTCACACTTTCTCTCACTCCCAAATTCTCTCACGTTCTCTCTCTCTCTCTCTCTCATCCTCTCTCATTCTCTCCCATACTCTCATTCTCTTTCATTCTCTCTCATTCTCTCCTATGCTCTCCCATTCTGTCATTCTCTCTCAATTTCTCTCTCACTCTCACACTTTCTTTCACTCCCAAACTCTCTCAAGCTCTCTCACTCTTCCATTCTTTCTCACTCATATTATCTCTCATTCTCTTCCATTCTCTCCCATTCTCTGCCATTCTCACTCATTTTCTCTCTCACTCTCACACTTTCTCTCACTCCCAAACCTTCTCACGCTTTCTCACTCTCCCTCTTTCATTCTCTCATTTTCTCATTCTCTCTTTTTCTAGTAAAAATCATTATTTTATTATTTATTATTATATTATATATTTTTATTATAAATACATTAATTATAAATACATATCGCATTCGCTGCTATGTGCTTCTTCAACGCTCTCGTAGCGATGCACGCATAGCCCCACTCCTTTGCGTCCGACATTTCTTTCTTATCTTATTACTGAGTCGAAATTTTCTTTTGTTAATATATCGGGTCATGATTAGGGGCAGGAGTTGCATATATACTCTCGAATCTCAAAAACTCAGTAGTTAAGTATCATCACACTAAAATTAAATAATATCTTATCGATCATTATAAGTTCGCGTTTTACATAATTGTAAAAAATTCATTACGATCAAATGTACAACAAAGTAAATATCAAATGGTATCAAGGCGAAATATAGTTGGAACTTTTTGAGATATATTCAAATCGATGTTATTTTAAATCATTTTATTTATTCACAACATGTATACGTATATTTTTACTTTGATATTTTTATATTTCTAGATGTCCATAAAAAACTTGAACATATTTCAAAAAGTTCCCTCACATGTGCAAAAAATATCTATTACTACAATTTTGCAAAATTGAGCCGACAAATGAAAATGTAAAATTTAATTAAAAATAGAGAGGCATACAAATCAGGCAGTGCTTATTTCTTTTCTAATATTTCAACTGTATGTATTCGCTTGATGCATCATTTATACGTGTAAAAGTCCATATAATATATATATATATGTTAAAGAAACTCCATTTCTCGCTCGATATCGACGAATTTTAATTGTACAGTTGGTCTATATCTGAAAATTATCGCATGATTTTAATTGTTTGCAATTAATAAATTAAATAAAACATTACAGCAACATACCTATAGTCAAAAAATAATTCTTCACCAGGTTGAATCGTTCTCTTAGCTATGTGACGTGGCGATTTTGGGATCGCTCGTCACAAGAGGCGGAGGGCCTCCGAGAGGGTCCCCGGGCTGTCGCGCTCGCCCGCAAACGCGAGACGAGCTGCGTAATTTTGAGGAAGGGTCGCGGATATATTTCGTATTGGCGAGCGATCTCGTACTGACGAGCGCGAGATTGCTTTCCTTTTTCTTTTTGGGTGATACTCCCGCGTCCCTATAACGTGTGTGCCCCTTCGCCGCGGGTAGCCTCCGACCAGCAGGAGCAGCGGACGAGGGAAAGTGGACCGAGGTGGATCGGAGGAGAAGGACGTACTCCTGGCGAAGACTCGAATTAAGGACTTAGAGATTTGGTTGCCGAGAAAGATATCGAGACTCGAGTCACGAGCTATCGCCTCTTTGGGTGTCGTGCGTGTGTCGCCCTATAGAGTACAGTGGACCGCACGTATCGAGCACCTAGTATCGCGATTATCGAATACGGCGTCGCGCCCTAGCGAGTGCATTGTATAGTGCCCGTGCGGATTCTCGAAAGGAGGAGAGAGAGCGAAGGAAGCGAGCCAGAGAGGAAGAGAGAGAAAGAGAGAGAAATCGAACGAGCGCAGGCGGCGAGGAGGAGAGCGAGCGGATCTGACCAGCGGAGGAGCGCGACTTAACCGAGGGAGGCTGCCGCAGGCGTGCAAACGTGTAAGAGTATCTGTCTAGTAGCCTTTGTCTGTGTGAACCGCTTGCGCGGCGGGACCGATCGGCGGCTGTCGGACTTTGGTGAAAATTTGTGTTGAGTATTGGTGGTCGAAGCCGTTTGGCGGTCTTCCCGCGGAACGCGGGGATCAGGGCGTCTCCCTCTCGTAGGCGGGCATCGGCAGCTATCGAAATCGCGGGTCGCGCATTGCGAGCACACACCGGGGTCGCTATCGCCTCTTCGTCAGGAGTCCTTCGAGAAACTTTTGTCCGCGGTCCACGAGTTACCGCTTATACCAAAGAGCTATTGCTGAGTAGCGATTCCGGTGGGATTCCGTTGTCGCCCGGAAAAGAATACAGAATTGTAATCCCGTGGTTACACGGGCGGAAATATACGTTTGTTTTATGTCAGAAATCTTAAGTCCTCGTTATTTCCAATTAATACCATCCGGTTCCCGAGGATCCTGAGAGGAAGGACCTACTCCCGACTCCAACTATAATCACAGGAGCTACCGGTCTCGTAGGCGATCGAGTCGTCTCGCCGCCGCTACCGCTATCATTCGCGTTGGTGGGCACGAGAATCGTGCCTGGCGCCCAACAACTCCCGTTTTGGCTAAATTTTAGGAAGCGGAAGGCGACTGACAGGTCGTCGCGAATTTTTTGTCCGCTTCCTAAGCACTAGGAGCAGTCGCAGCAAAAATACCTATTCCATGATCACCGTTCACCATCATCACTTTCGCATAACAATTTGGATTTATCGAATGATTAGCGAACTTTATTTTATTCCCTTTCCGTGTCGCGTCTATAACAAAATCTGAAACCGACCAAAAACTTTTAAGTTTTGTTATTTTTCAACATTTAATTAACCATTATTTCTATCTGTACTTACTATTGTTAATATTAAAAAGGAAACTACACATATATTTATCATATACTTTTCCCCGTCTGTCAGCTTCGTCTTGACTGATAATTTCGCTGCAATATTCCTAGATGAATTCGCTGCTGATATTTCAAATTGTATAGGGTTTTTCAATTGGTGCAGGTCGATGTTGGCAGCCTGTGACGGCCATGTTATTTTGGCCGCGTCTGTCTAACCTGTTGTTTATTATTCAGTCACTGATGTCAAATCACCATGACAAGTTACACGATTGCATGTCCAAATGATAAAACTTTATTATCAAAATGAGTGTTCGTTAGTGCAAACGTTGCGCGCGTTGCGCCCATTTTATGGCAAACGCGGTGGCCCTTCAAAGTCGACTCTCCAACGTTTAGTGGCCAAATTCAAGACGACCGGTTCGGTAAACGATCAGCCAACATTCGTACGTCAAAGGAACGCCAGATCGGCCGAGAACATCGCCGCTGTAAGTGAAAGTGTGCAGGAGAACCCAAGGCAGTCAATCCCTCGCTGTGCACAAGAACTCGGCCTTTCGCAGACTTCAACTTGGTTAATTTTGCGTCGGGACTTGGGCCTCCACCCGTACAAGATCCAACTGGCCCAGGAGCTCAAAGTTAATGACCATAGACAACGCCGTTTGTTCGCTGACTGAGCTTCGGAGCATTTGGAAGGGGACCCCAATTTTGGCCGAAAAATTATCTTTAGCGACGAGGCGCATTTTTGGATGAATGGCTATGTTAACAAGCATAATTGCCGTATATGGCAGGACGCCAACCCACACGAGTTTCAACAGGTAACAATGCATCCACAAAAAGTTACTGTTTGGTGCGGATTTTGGGCCGGCAGCGTCATTGGTCCGTACTTTTTCGAAAACGACGTTGGTGAGGCCATCACCGTCAATGGCGAGCGCTACAGAACGATAATAACCAATTTCTTTTGGCCCAAATTGAACGACATGGACGTGGACGACATGTGGTTCCAGCCGGACGGCTACGTGCCACACAGCGGACGCCACGATGGACATTCTGCATGAACGATTGAGGGTATGGTTATCTCTCGCAGAGGTGACGTGAATTGGCCACCAAGATCGTGCGATTTGACCCCACTAGACTTTTTCTTGCAGGGTTTTCTGAAGTCGCAGATCTATGCCAATAAGCCGCAATCGACCGATGCCCTTAAAGTCAACATAACCCAGGCCAATGCTCAAATTCAGCCGCATCTATGCGGCAGAATCATTGAAAATTGGACCACTCGGATCCGTGCCACCGTGAGAAGCCGCGGCGGACATTTGAACGATGTTATATTCCACACATAATGACATACATGGGCCTTTCAAATAAAAAAAGAATTTCGTTAATACCTCACACACAGCTTGTTTTATTCCATTGCAACATCGACCCGCCCTTATTGAAAAACCCTTTATAAAGTATATTTCAAATTAATAATTCTACTCATTGAGTTTATATTAATTTTCACTCTAATAAATTAAATTTTTCAAAACTTATAAAGACTACGTTGCACGCTGACATTTTTGCAAGATTTAGAATTGATTTGGAAATGATCTGGATCATACGTTTGGCAAAGATCCGGATCACATTCCCTGACAGCCAGATAACAAGGACACTGATTTGTATTGCATTGCGTTTTGCACCTACACTCAGGAAATCTGTTCTGGCATTCGCTGCTGCACTGATAAAACTTCTCGGAGAAGTTTTGTGTTTGTATACATGGGCATGATTTATCATACTGACAGCCAGGATGATCATAAGGTGCAAAATTGTGTACGTGATTGGCACCTATTCATTCAAATGAAACTGAGGCAAAATGAATTAGAGGCAAATAAGATGAGGGGATAGTATAAAATTTAACATACCCGAGTCCGTCTTAAGATGTATTTTCCGGCAATGCGTAGACCACAACCGATGCTTTTTTTCTTTTTTCGCAGCGGTGTGAAGTCCTTGAGATATTTTATAGCAGGAATGTTCGAAGCTTCTTTCTGCGCAAATTCGTAAACTTCCTTGCATGTTTTTGTTAATAATAATTTTTGTTAATAATCATACTTACTTCTTAATCAATCACTGATGTTTAATCAAAAAATATCCTAATCAATCACTAATGTATCCCACTGATGACGATGCACCGATGTTGCGTACTTAACCCACCATTTCTTCCCAATGTTGCGTATACGCAACACGAAGTTTAACTTCACAAAATGCAGTCAAAATGAACTTATTTCACAATTAGTCTAACACTTCGTGAAGAAAAATAATTACTGATAATTAATCATATAAACTTCATGTTGCGTATACGCAACATTGGGAAGAAATGGGTTATGTATGTTTATGTATGTATACTACTATTCAGCGCTCGTAGCGCCCCTGTCGGAAAAACGAGAAGCACAAATTCTCTCTCTTCGGCGATATAGCGTTTCTTTTTTTCTTTCTTACTTTCTTACTGAATCGTAATTTTCCATGATTCAGACTTTATCTTAAAATATCTCCACTTAGAGACAACGTACACAAAAAACACACAAGAACACTTTTCTTCCTATTTTTGAAGGCCGAATCGATTGGGATTAAAAAAACCTCGATCGGTTCAGCCATTGCTGAGATATAAAAATCTCACCTCGTTTCAACTCGCAGTTTCACGTATAATAGGCACGGTACGCCTCTTGATTCCGCAAGAAAATTGACCAATCACAGTTGTTTTGTTGCGTGTGTGGTGGTGTCGCCAAGTAGTTAAGTGATCGCACAAATGTGCCGGATCCACTCAGAGAGAACGCGGTGGGTATGGTGAATCACAAAATGACGGCAAAGTGGTCGGTTTTCTCTGACTTTAATGGAAGTTCACAAAATTAACGTTACGCTGCTATACAAATGGATTAACGCAATAATACAAAAAGAGGGGGGTTTGAGTTCACGAGCAGAAGTACCGATCGCGGCGGTCGGCATCGCACAATTGGCTTTCACTTGAGCGGAAGTGTCCTCCGATATGGCCCGAATTAATAAATAACGACAGGAGAATGAGGGGGTATGATAGGATAGTCAAGTCGAGGAGACGGTGAGATAAGAGGAGTCAAACTGACGCCGGGTCGAGAGCTTTACGAAGAAGATCCAGTGCGAAAGCCGAGGATGAGGAAAGGAGAAGAGAAACGGGAAGATCCGTTTTGGTGCTAAGTGGTTTCAACTGCTGCGGTGAGAATACGTGTCCGCTCGTCGATCGGATCAACTCGCTAACCCCCCATCCGCCACCGAGATATCGTTTATCATCTCGGTTTGCTGTTGTTAACCGAGTTTGAATGCGCTGGTATTAGATGATTGGTCCGTATAGGGCGCTTTTTTCGCATCGGCTGTCAACGCTTGATTTGATACTGCTTTCGACGACCGTTATGACACGAACATATCGCATGCTGTCGTCGAGCGAACAATAAGAGCACGCTTCGAGAACGTTCGGTGATCGTGCTGTTGATACACTGTCAGAGAGCTCTGTGTATTCGAATTTTTCGGTTGTTATTGCGACCGGTCCCGTGAGCGAACGACGGCAACATCACAAGCTCAGGGCAGCGATCGCGCTCGCATCCCAAACAACAGTCGATTATTATAATGTCACAAGAAAAGGATCGACTGTGATTGGTCAATTTTCTTAAGGAATTACGGTTACGGTTAAAACTTTTCTACGTGCAATGGCCTTTACTGTTAAGTTAATTTGTGTGCGCGCGCCCTTAGACCGGGTCTACAATAGATGTAGTAAGCTTTAAGTTTTAAGAAATTGGTTAAGCTCATTTGATTATTCTTGTAAAAGTCGACTAGGATTGGTTAATTTCCTAAGGTTTAAAGCTTACTACACCTATTGCAGACCCGGACTGATGCTAGAAACACACACTTTCCGTAACCGTAACCATAAAGAAATCGACAAGTTCCAATCAAGTATTTCGTTACTGACAAGGAGATGACGCCAATTAGAAAATCGTTTTTCGAACGAGTCATAGTGCGTTCGATAGCTTGTATGTAGGTGATGAAAACCCTAGAGCCGTTCGTGCCAATGCGCCTTTGTTTAAGACAAAAATATACTAAACATTTTAGCACATGACGAAGTCGTCAGAATAAAAGGAGATAAGTATTACTATCATTAATACAGCTAGTTCACACGATTGACTTTAATTTGTTATTTTCATCTGAGTATTGACTTGATATGCTGTCATCTATATCAGGATTTTACGTTAAACTATGGAATTCATAAATAATCCAGCAATATGTTACACATATATGCAATATATATAAAAGCAATATGTTACACATATATGCAATATATATAAAACTCATTAGTAGTGGATATAATGTGGGGATATCAGGCAGGTATAAAATACATCGGCTCACTGCAGATCCTATCCATTGGCAAAAACTGAGAATTTCGATCTTACATATAGGGTTTGTCAAAAGTGTGGAAACCCTTAAATAATTAATCATTTAAGGGTTTCCACACTTTTGACAAACCCTATATATCTCGGAGGCCTTAAAAGTCCGTATAAACTTTGTCCGATCCAAAAATATTCGATATTTTACAGGTTTTAACACATCAATCAATAAGTTCATAGGATGACATATAAATGGCGCTACTATTAACAAATCCATATGATTTTTAGGAAGTACTAACCTTCAAATGATGATGGTGTCAAAATTTCATGACAATCACATTTAGTTCACAAGTTACAGTGGTTTTAGTGATGCACGACGTCGACTCGTTTTAGCAAGGCTTCAGTTTCGGCAATCACTTCTTCATTGGAGCCAAATCTCTTTCCTTGGAGCTTTCCCTGCCGGTTTTACTCTAGAGTGTAATGATGGATCCATGTTTCATCCATTGTCGCATATCGCATCAGAAAATCCTTTTTATTGCGCTGAAACTGCTTCAAATAGCTCGCTGAATCGTCGACGCGTTGCTGAAACGAGTCGACGTCGTGCGTCATTAAAACCACTTTAACTTTTGAACTAAACATCCGATTGTCATGAAATTTTGACATGTATCATTTGAAGGTTAGTACTTCCTAAAAATCATATGGATTTGTCAATAGTAGCGCCATTTATATGTCATCCTACGAACTTATTGAGTGATGTGTTATACATTTGACAAATTTCCGCGTCCGCCATTTTGAATTGAGGGCCTAATTTAAAAAACGAGCTTGATACGATTGTAGAGCAATTCATCGCGAGTAAATAAAAAAAAAGCATGGAAATTGGTTAAAAATTACGCCGTCTAGCGATTTTTGTCCACAAGAAGACCCATTTGTCCCACTGTGCGGTGGCGAGCGTTCGGATTCCACCGACGACTGCTCCACTTTATGGTTTTTTTTCTTTTTTTTTTAATTATCGACATACAGTAATACGTTATTAATATTTATTTATTTATTTTTTAATTTATTTCGTTTTTATATAAAAAAATAGACATTTCGGGATATTTGAAGGCAATATGAAATAAAAAATATACAAATCGTATGGACTGATTATATATTTTTCAAGCAACGTATAAATTTTATACATGTCAAAATCAAATACAAACTTTATAAATGTCTATATTATAAAATGTTTCCATCTCTTCGCAGTGTTCTGGATGAAAATTCATGTAAAAACATTGGAAACAAAACTTTGTCGCACCACGAACATTTTATAAATGAATTTTATAAATGAATTATGTTGTTCGCATTTTATATTATAAATATTTGGAGGAAGGCACAGTTTGTTCACTTAAAAACATTTCTCTTTCGTCAGCTAATTTGGACGCATACCATGTATATTGAAGCATACATTTAAATCTTGGTGCTGATAATAAATAATGAGCTAATGATTGTATACGAATTGCATCAGCACGAGTATTTAATTATTTGCTTTCGTCACCTGATTGAGCAATTACATCTGGACAGTTTTGTATTTTTTTTATTATAATTTTCACTTGTCTACAAATTCACTTGTCTGTAGAAATTATACCACCAAAATGTACTCCGATATGTCAGCCATGTGATGTTTATTTTTACAGATAAGTGAAAATTATAATAAAAAATGCAAAACTGTCCAGATATAATTGCACAATCAAGTGACGAAAGCAAACAATTAAATACTCGTGCTGATGCAATTTGTATAGAATCATTAACTCATTATTTATTATCAGCACCAAGATTTAAATGTATGCTTCAATATGCATGGTATGCGTCCAAATTAGCTGACGAAAGAGAAATGTTTTTAAATGTTAAACTATGCCTTCCTCCAAATATTTATAATAAAAAATGCGTATGTGAACAACATAATTCATTTATAAAATATTCGTGGTGCGACAAAGTTTTATGTTTCCAATGTTTTTACATGAATTTTCATCCACAACACTGCGAAGCGATGGAAACATTTTATAATATGAAGACATTTATAAAGTTTGTATTTGATTTTGACATGTATAAAATTTATACGTCGCTTGAAAAATATATAATCAGTTCATACGATTTATATATTTTTTATTTCATATTGTGTTCAAATATCCCGAAATGTCTTTATTTTTCATATAAAAACGAAATAAAAATTTTTATATAAAAAATAAATAAATAATTATTAATAAGGTATTACTATATGTCGAAAATTAAAGAAAAGAAGAAAAAAACCATGAAGTGAAGCAGTCGTCGGTAGGATCCGAACGCTCGCCGTCGGTGCAAAAATCTATGTGTGGGAGCCTT